CTGCAGCTGATAGATGCTGTTGATTCTGTAGAGAAGTTTTGCACTAGAACTTGAGCCTGCCACAAATGTCACCCCAGCCATGAGAAAAGCACTGCTGATGCTGTTGCCGGCCACTGCTGCTGCTGTCCTATGTGTGGTTAGAAGAGAGAACAAGCTAGCAAAAGATAGCAAGAAAAAGATACACAAAGTGCGACTGATTGCTTAAGAAATTCCAAACAAAAACAGATATTGTTAGCAAATGGTATCTTCATTCCACCACCTCTCCTTCCAACCAAACCAAAGAAGCTTGAACTACTCATAACATAACTAGAAAGTTGAATCTAAGTAAAAGAAAATACCCGATTTAGATGTTGAAAGAAGAACATATAGCCTGAAATTGCAAAGAAAACAAAGTGAAGAAGGTGACTGTATTAAGGTGCCCTTCAAGTCGTCATGTATTAAGCAGATGCCTGCCAGGCCAGGTCATATGAAAGGGAAAAGAAGCAATAACAAGCTGAATGATTCAATAGCAGAATAACTGGTTATCTAAAATATAAACATGATATATCACAAGAATAGTCTAATATGATATCCTTTATCAAACGTATAAACCATGAGAATATTGGCAACCAATCGGACAGAGATTACAATAACCAAAATGTATAAACCTAATCGTTATATGGAGAGTGCCGAAAAGCTGACACAACTTCAACTAATAGCTAATTAAAAAATGAGCATAAGTATACTCTACATCTTTTGTAGAAGGCAACTGCTCAGTTGAGTACCCTTACGCAGAGTAGCTATCTATGCTATACAAATTCTTCACATATTCCGAACATAAGCTAATTGTTGAGCTTAAGTACTCTATTTTCTTCAAGCACACACTATACCAAAAGATTGAAAGATTCTTGGGCAGCAATTCCTAGTTCCTCCCTCTTGTTTTTTGTCTAACATCTAAGTTGCTCTTTGGTGGACAACCAATCATGGTTAAGAATTAACATCAATTACAACATAAACACGAAAATTAAGAAAAATCCAACAACCAATTCACACTTTTGAATGAAACAATTCATACATTCAAACAAAATTATGAAGAATTCGAAGACTAACCATCATCAGCGTCAGAAGACTAACCATCATCGGCCATATTAAGGTTGAGATGAACGCCTCCTGCGGATATTAATTTAATTCTTGTTTAGTAATGTTGATAGTTTGTAATCTCTCAATTGCTATGGTAGAGAAAAAAAAGAAGCAAAACACACAGAAAGATTCTATTTAATTCATGGTCGGGTGGAACATAATCCGAATTTGAATTTTATTTTGTTAGATTTTTGAAAGAGATGAGTAGAGAGTTCAGGTCGAAGAGATAGAGATAAACCTTATGACAGATGAGAGAGACGAATCGAAGGAAAAGGCAACAAAGTGTTTTTTTGGTTAAATTGGGTTTTCTAACGGTCTCAAAGTAGACCCAGTTGAGAACCATATTTACGTAAGGGAAGACCCGAAACCCGACCTGAACCTGACCTGCTTTGGGTTAGGTTTGGGTTTGCATTTTGATGGGTTTGGGTCTATTTCGGGTCAACCTGATAGACCTGATTTTTGTAAGGTCAGGTTCGGGTAGACCCATCAGGTTTTCAGGTCGACCCAAAAAACCTGAAAAAAAAAATTTATTTTAATTCCAAATTTCCAATGTTCAATTTAATTACAATATTCCATTTACTCATTTAGGGGAATTAGGGCATTTGATTTAGTATTTTGAGTGGCCGAAACTTGAAACAAAAAATTCTCTCAATTCTCAAAATCGTACTCTTCACTGTCTTCAATCTTCACTCAATCTCTTCTTCTTCTTCTCTCAACCTCTCTTCTCTAATCTCTCTCAACCCTTCTCTTCTTCTTCTCAGATTTAACAACCCCCAAGGATTTGATGGCGAAGTTCTTGGAGTAGTTGGTCTTCATCCTTCTCTTCACCTCAATCTCAATCTGTAAGTTTCACCGAGTTTTTAATTTTCAATTCTTAGTAAATTTCATGAATTGAGATCGGTTCTTCAATTTCTCTTTCAAATTCGTATGTTTTTTGAAGAAATTAAGCTGCAGTTCGAGAAAATCTGTTCTGTAAATTAAATTAGATTGTTTTATAGTAGTATAATTGCCTAAAGAAGCCCTAATTTAGGTAATCTGTTGAATTAAATTTTGATGTGATCTTTACATCCTCATTTCTTGTTTTTACATAAATTCTTCATGAATTACAGTTAAATCTGACCTTAGAAATGGACTTAATTTGAAAATTTTGTTAGAATGAAGATGAGGAACAGTTCAATTTCGTTTGATAAACTTGTTTATTTCTGAAT